TAAGATGGACTTGTTGGTTTTTTTCTTGGGGTGGTGCAGGATTAGCTGTTGTGGGCAGCTGCGTGGCTGTTCCGGGCAACAAACAATCAATATTACTTGGAGTACCTGGGCAAGAATGGCGACTCCCTTGGTGGGACAGGATGGGCCATGACTGAATTCAGCTGGGATGTCAAGTATGCCGGTGTTCAGACGCTTGTGTCGAAGGTCACTTCTTTTCTTCAATCACAGCACACATCAACCAAATCTCTTATCACTCGCTCGATCACCCATTTTATTCATTCGGCTAGAGACGAAATTGCATATTAACATGTCGGGCTCACCTCGTCTCGTTTAGTTGATCATTGGCATTATAGTTGTCGCATAATGCCAGTGTGGCTCGTCGCCACTCGGCTCTGTGAAGTTCAGTTGCTTATTAATGGGATGTATCCCGATATACGGGAGTTACAGACACAATGGATTAGTTTCTTATCATTCAATCTGCATATTGACGTGCGTAAACTCGCCATAGATCATGTGCGGTTTCTTGGTCGAATTTGATGAAGTCTTGGACTCTTTGTTCAACAAAGGATAAGCTCCGTGAGTTAGTAAAATCGATCTTTGATTTATGATAGGTGATTTTGTAATCATCCGGATTAGATGGTTCCTCTATACTAGGCAAAAACATCACTCTGTTGTAGCGGTTTGGATGAGGAAGCTTGACTGGGTTCTTGTGTGTCGCTTCCACTGCAGATTCTGATGCAAGGGAGAGCAGGTCACTATGCACCGGTATTCGAGAGGTACCAGCAGAAGGCGGAGTACTTTATGTGCTCGTGCCTCGGCAGAGGGACTAGGAATGTCCAGAGGACACCCGGCGGTCTCATGTTCCGCCAGCGGGGGAACAACTTACAGTTCGTCACCAGTGCCTCATTCCTGATGACTGTCTACTCCGATTACCTCGCGTCTTCTAGAAGGAACTTGCACTGCTCCTCGGGTGCCATCGCTCCTTCTGCGCTCTTCTCGTTCGCAAAATCACAGGCACGTTAATGATTCCTGACTCTCTCGCGTCTTTTCCTGGTTCAATTTATAGTCTAGTGAATTCATAAGAAATACAATAAGGAACCAGCTAACAAGTGCATCGACAAGATGAAAGGGCAAAGATTCAATCAATTGCTGGAGCATAAATCATTACACTTGCAGGTGGACTATATTCTTGGGGACAACCCAAGAGCAACAAGTTACATGGTGGGGTATGGAACCAACTACCCGAGGCAAGTCCACCACCGGGCTTCTTCGATCGTCTCTTTTAAGGTCAACCCCACATTCGTGAGCTGCCGAGGAGGCTATGCAACCTGGTTCAGCAGAAAGGCCGGCAATCCGAATCTCCTGACTGGTGCAATAGTCGGCGGACCTGATGCCTATGACAATTTTGCAGACCAGAGGAGCAACTACGAGCAAACCGAGCCAGCCACATACAACAATGCACCTCTCCTCGGCGTGCTTGCAAGGCTAAGTGGAGGCCACGGCGGATATAACCAGCTTCTTCCAGGTGAATAGATCATGATAATGAATGTTATATCCAAATTTTGTTTTGATTAGAAGCAGCATTTTGGACTAACTCCCTGGTTGTTCATCATTGACTAATAAGCATCTTCGTGCAGTTGAGCTTCCTGCCCTAAAACCGATTGTTTCGCGACCAAATCCAGTCCCAGGTAATTGAATTGTCTATAAATCCAATAACACATTTCTTCTTTTCTGGTGGGAATGTCTACATCTTAGATCTGACTTATATCATTGATACTAACAGGAACAGAACCATCATATCATTTGATTCGTCCATCCTAGAAAAAAAGAGATAAGCAAAAGCTTTACATTAGTGTGCAAAAATGGTGATGACTGGATGAGACATCAATACTCTAAGTTAAAGAGATTCATCGCTGATTCATCGCAAATTTGCGACGGACAAATACCATCCGTTGCAAATTTGCGACGGACAAAGACCGTCCGTCGCAAATTGGTGGCCGGTCGCCGGAACAACAAAAACAGAAAAAAATTAGCTACGATACTTACCGGTGGAAAAGCTTCACCGAGATTAATTTCTGGACGCACGGATTATTGAGAGAAATGATAGAAGGAGAAGGTGAGAGAAAAGCGGGCAACCTGACGAATCACTACTGAGAGAGAGAGAGAAATTGACGGGTCGGGTGGGGTGCATATCAAAAAATTAATTTTCCGTCACAAATTAGCGACGAACCCTTTTTCGTCGCAAAATCCGTCGCAAATTGCGACGGATAAAATATTCGTCGCGACGGAAAATAAATCCGTCGCAAATTTGCGATGGAAAATTAGTCGTCGCAAATTTGCGACGGAATTATTTTCCGTCGCAAATTTGCGACGGATTATTTTCGTCGCAAATTTGCGACGGATTTATAGTTTGTCGCAAATTAGCGACGAAAATAATCCGTCGCAAATTTCCGTCGCAATAATCATGTTTTTTTGTAGTGAATAGGCACAATGTCAGAACAATATGCACATGGGTACAATGTACCTTAACTGTATACTGTGAGGATCTTGCCCGTACGATCTAAACAAGGGTAACTTGAATCTCAAACAGTAAAAGTTCATTGACCGAAATAATTGATATTTCATACTTGATTGGAAATTTTCAAGGGATAAATGTAATTTCTATCAAACTTCCAATAATTTCTTGTTAGTAATTTCATTTGATCATATGATTAATAACTTTCTAAACGTGTTAACAAATCATGAATTTAGAGTCGAGATATAGGACAACGTATCACTCAAACTCGACCTTTACAAGAGCTAAAGCTTGGCCCTCTATTTAACATCAACTCGAGCTACTTGAGGTCGACCCAGCTACGTGCTTAACGGCTTGATTTGATCATAATTGAAGCTCAAGTTAAGCTATAACTTCAGACTCGGCTCGAACTTGAGTGTACAGCATTTGAATGACACGGTTTTCACGTTTCCCGTACTTCTCCAATAGGATCCAGCGAGGCAAAGCTCGAGTTCACGCCTTACAATGCTTGAGGTCGGCCCATTCTCAGCTCGACTTGACAAAAACTGACGGAGCCAAGGCTAAATAAGCTCCCCGCACATAGATTTGCCAATGCATGCCCTTGTGTTTAACGAACTTGGACTTATGTCACTAAGTTGCATTATCTCTCCAAGATCATTGGGTGAGGAAGATCTCATGATCCTTAATGGGTCGGCAAAATCCACAATCCCTATAGACACGGCCGATAGTTGGAAAGAGTTCGATTTTGACTATTTGAGCTTAGGATTTAGGACTCAACCGCCTTCCGCAGAAAGGATGACTCACTCCGAGCCAATTTCTGCATTGTTTATCTCATCGCCATGGTGAGTTTACCAAAGCATTTTCCAAAGGGCAATCACTTCATGCATGGAATCAGCAAGCATAACGAACCACCCTCTCATATAGTATATATATGTGAGCAAGCCTAACAATACACAAATGCAAGCACATGCGAACACACATACACACACAAACGATCTCCTTATCTCCATAGAAAACACGCTTCACTCTGCGCAATAGCTCGGAAATGGCACGTCTCGGAAAGTGCTTTGTCAATGTCGCAACAGTGGTGATGACGTTGGTGCTGATTCTTCCGTCCTCGAGCTATGCCGCTACGTATTATGTAGGGGACCAGGATGGCTGGACTTACGATGTTGACTTCGACTCCTGGGTTGCTGGCAAGACTTTCTATGTCGGTGATGTTTTAGGTAATCAAGTTTACCGAAGTAGTGATAAGAGTAGGAAATGCATTTGAGCATGCATACGCTAAAGCAGCATATCTACATGAACATCACTTACTAATGGCTAACGATCATCATGTATGATCTGTTGAGATTCGACTTCTATTCAGATTTGGGTAGATGGGAAAGCCTTTTTCTCATCTAAAAAATAGCGATAGTATTCATAGGAGTGTTGTTATATCCCGTTGTGCTTACTACTTGGACTGAATTGATTCTGAGTATTAATGTAATTGGCAGTTTTCATCTATGACAACACCCAGCATAACGTGTTCTTAGTCGATGCAAATGGGTACAACACATGCTCAACGAACAAGTATTACGGGAGCTATGCTAGTGGCAACGACCAGATAACACTGACTGCGGCCGGCAACTGGTACTTCATTTGTTCGTATCACTGTGATTACGCTAGCCAGAAGGTTGCAATCACTGCCTTTTCATCGTGAAGTGACGTCAATGTGGTCTACCGAGGCAGGATTTCACGGGTCTTAGCACCCGCTACACAGTAGATCCCAAGGTGTTTTGGTCTGTTTAGTCTTGACAGTTACTCTCAAGGCCTTTTCATTTTGGTGTGTTTCCTTTCTAATTTTCTCATAGTATGAAGAAGGGACATGAGGTTGGAATTGTCTCAATAACTAAGGCATGTAATGGCCTCAATAAAATGGTTTGAGTGCTTTGCCTTATTAATTAAGGATCAATAAGAGAGGTCTACTTATTCTTTGAATCCCCTGGTTACCTGCTTCTTCCTTTCTATATATCTGGATTTCGAAGCTCATGGAGAACTGAGACAAATCCTTCTTTCTAATTTTTTACATTCCAGGAACATTTTAGTCGAAAATATCAGATATTCACCATGTTAAAGATGCCCTTCACCTCCTTGTTCATGGTTTTGGCTATGAAAAGCCATTTGGGGTTACAGAAGTGCCTCTCGAAATTAAATCGTATATTCTGACGTAGTTTTGGCTCTTTTTACATTGATCGAGTTACAAATGCTTGAATGAGGTGAAGCCAGGGGAATTTGAACAAAGTGCCTTATGTCGATCCAGTGCTTATGTTCCATTTGGAGTGACTTTCATTGTTTCAAATTTTGAGATTTTCATAGTTTTGCTTCTACTTATCCACAGTAAAATCAGATTTGACGAAAGAGATGGCGAACTCGTTCAGCCAATTCTTAATATAGGTCGTTCAATGTCACCTTCTTCGTTCAAATTTACTAAAAATCACCCAAAAAATCAAACATGAGATTTATTCAACAAACTGGACGATAGATTTCACTTCATGGGGAAGCTGATGATGACATGTAAGTAAATTTCTTTTATTCGAGGATGATATGTTGTTGATAAAAGCTAGTTCTTTTCTCTTGTGGAAGATCCATATTTGTAGGACAAATAGGCCCCGAGAGCTACAATCACCACAATTGCCACCCCCATGTTCACAACCAGTTGCCTGTCTTCGTTCGAACCTCTGGTCAGTCCCTTCACTGCCCTCTTCACAGCACCCACCAAATCCTCGGTTTCAGTCACTTTCTTGCCTGAGAAGGCTTTTGGAATGCCGAGCTTTTGTGCATCATCATCCAATCTGGCCTCGTTGTTATTCTTCTTCAAAACCTCTATCTCTCCGTTCTTCTGCGCATTGTCCTCATTCTGTGATGATGTTTTGTTTCCCTTATCATGTGCAGTCTGTTGATCTCTGGGTTTCTTGATCGTCTGCGATTCATCGGCAGGTCTATCGCCCTTCTCCTTTGCTCCAATTCCCGAGCCTTCATCAACTCTATATGCAGCACGGTCCGACATTGCATTCGATGCAGCTTCTTTAGGCTTGACCCCGCTTGCATTCTGTGATGTTGGGTCACTGGAGGAGGCTTTTGGAGGGGCATCTTCTAGACCCTTTTGATGTTTTGGCTGATCAACGGCTTCCTTCGCGCCAGCGACCGCCTTGTCGTCGCTCTTCTTCTTTCCAATGTCATCGCTTGAGGTGGTCTTTGGGGGAACATTTTGTTGACCAACCTTAGGAGATTTTGGCTCTTTTTCAGTGTTCAAAGATTGTTTCTGAGTCCTCACTTGGGGTGGTGCTTCTTTAGGAGGGACTTGCGTGACGGTTTTCTTTGGCAGAGTTAAGACGAGAGTTCCTTGCTCGAACTTGCCCCTGATCTCGCCCGGCTTGCAATTCTCCGGGACACGGAATTCCTTGCCAAAACGGCTAAATTTGTTGGGCCCGAGAGGACGCTCTCCACGGACTTTCACAGTTCGCGGTCGCTCATTATATGTGACCCTGATTTGCTCCTTCGCAAAACCTGTGTATCAACATGTTCGCATACGATGTGAAAAGGCCGAATTTCGAGTTATCATGTTGGTGACAAGGATTTCATCATGGTCAGCTGAACCAATTGCGCGAGATGGAAACTCAGGACATGTCTTGATATCAAGAAATTATGACGCACGTACTAAACTGAATCGAACCGCAAAACATAATGCAACTTTGATTCTGGGATCGGGCGAAGCAAGAAAAGGGAGGAGACGAAATGCTGATGGAGAAACAAGGATGATACCAAGAAGAAAAAGGAAGAGATACGCCAAACCTGGAAGAGAAACGCTCAAGAAATTCGCGGTCGGTTCTTCCCGCCACTCGAACTTGGGCTCAAAATCCTCGTACACGGGACAGCCCAACGCTTGCGCCATCCGGCCAGCAACAGTCCTGGATGTTCTCGGCCCTGTCGCCATTAACGTGCCTTGTATTTTCTTCCTCCTCCTTAACTATTGATCGGATATAGTTATTCGTAGTGCGTCTTTTGCTTGATCGCAAGATAGACATTTTGCCCGGCGCTGTTGGTCCGTATATATAGTCTTCGACGATGGTATTGGTAATGCCCGCGGCGTACGAAGGCTTCTTGCGTTTTGTGTCTGATACGTGAGATTATTCCTTGTTGATTGCTGTGGTCCGTCTCTTTGTTGATGTTTTTGGAGTCAAATTCGACAAGGCAATACATTGCTTCTCCGAGAAACAAAGACCAAAGTTCTTTGTTTAGCCTCTACGCCTCGCCTACGTGAGAGGCAATGTCACATGTGCTTTAAGCCAGTCCGTCCCCCTATTTCAAATTCCCTTCTTGAGGATGACTCCTCGTGCTTTTGCATGAATCTTGAGAATTAGAGATAGTCGAAAGCTAAACTCAACTTAAAACATGCATTGTCAGTTCTTGTTTCGAATACAACCGAAATGTGATGAACTCTGCTCCGAACCGTCGAGAAGTTATTGGGTACTTCCGGAGTATAGCACGGGCGGCACTCGACTAGACAATAAAAGAGTAGCGACACATAGACTATACAAGGCTCGACTTACCTATTTTTTAGAGTGCACCGAGGCGTCACATCTCATGAGTAATTAATTATTTCTCCGCACGGTTCTTGAACATGAAGGGCTCGCACTTTCCCATGCGACATCACTTGCATGTTACAGCAATTGTGACTCCCTCATGCAAATCGGAAAGACCTTTTGGTAATAGGATTCCCAAATGTTAAGGGGTCGAAAATGAAAATTCAAAAGGAAAGAAGGACTAGAATTGAAAAGTGAAAGGACTCCCCGGCCACGTTGCCACGTAATTCCCAACAGAGCACCTTACAAGGAAGAGACAACATCGTCAATACTCCCTCCCTCACTTCACTTCATCACCGTTTTCTCTCCACTACCACCTCTTCTTTTTCCGCCGTTTCTCGGCGGACCTAACGCATTCACTTTATCTAGACCTAAGCAAGTCCTTAAAAGGCTTCATATTTATTCAATCCGGACCTCGGGACCTCCAAAAGGTAAAACATCTAGAGAGTATTGTCTAGAGCTACGCAAGAAAAAGATACAGACTCCAATTAAGAAAATAAGTCTACGGGTACCGGCACATTAAAATAAGGAATGCAGTCTGGCTACCCGTCTAATTATTAGCTGGAAACGTCCTGTCTTGGTGAGATTATCCTATTACCAGTCAACTGAGGATCCAGGCAGACCCCTTGATTTTGATAAATAAATGCCGCTTGGCGTATCCCGTGGTGTTCGCCATCGCATGGTAACTGTTGAGAAGACCTTTCGGTAACAGGATTCTCGAATGTTGAGGGTTCGAAAATGAGAATTCAAAAGGAACGAGGGACTGGAATTGGAAAGCGACAGCACTCCCCCCGACCACGTTCCCACGAATTTCCCAACGGAGCACCTAACAAGGAAAAGACAAAACTACATCGTCAACTAACCCCCGCCCTCACTTCACTTCATCACCGTTTTCTTCTCTCCAGCACCACCCCTTCTTTCCTCAGCGGGTCTAACACGTTCGCTTCACCGTCATCTTTTCGTTATTTCCTTTTTCTCCTCTCTCTGTTCATACCTGCCAATCACTGCTCTCTTTCGCTTCCATTCAGCTGCAAGCATCTCTCTCTGCTTCTTCTTTTTGCACTGTAAGCTCTCTCTGTCTCTCTCTCTCTCTAAAATGTGGCTTTTTGCTCTGAGAAAAGAATCTAGAAAGTGGTCTTTTTTAAGCTTTTGCCTTTACAATACTCGAGAACAGGGGATAGCGGATCGACCCTTTTAGCTCTTCAAGCTTCTTTAGCGTGACTAGGCGATAAGGGCTGTGTAAAGATGGTTCCTTTTTTTTAACTCGCGCACGGTTGCTTAACGAGAGAGGAGAGAAGCGCACTGTCGCGCGAACTGTTGTGCTCTCGCCTCTTTTTCTATGAGCGCGACAGAACGGGGCAGTTTCCCGGAAATGAAACTGATGGGTGGTTCCCTTTCTGGGTGATGCAGTACTGAACGAGGGCTCTTGTGGGTGGTGGGGGTCGTGGTGAGGACTGAGAGATGAGCAGGGCTTTTCTTCAAACACTTGGGGTGCTTTCGTTATGGTGGTTTGTGGCATCAGCAGTGGCTCAGTCCCCAGGGTACGTTGCGTACAAGGACCCGGAGCAACCGGTGGCCGCAAGAGTGAAGGACCTCTTGAGTAGAATGACGCTGGAAGAGAAGATTGGTCAGATGACACAAATCGATCGCATCGTGGCGACTTATGACTTCATGAGAACCTACTCCATTGGTAAATAGAACAGTTCCAACATCGTTTATGCTTGTGCATCTTATTTTATTTCTTTCTTGTGTTTCTTTTTGGGGCACTTGGTATGTGGGGTTTGTTGTTGGATTATTATATATTCTAAAAGTTCACATATTTTAAGGTGCAATAGTAAGGACCTACCATTTGCAAAGTTTATCAGGAGCCGTCACATTTCATGTCTGGGGTCCATGCATGTTAAACCTACTGTAATGTGAGTGAGGGGACACAAGATCTAGCAGTTTAATTTGCTTGTGTCACAATGATTGTTCAGTTTTAGCTATCCAGTGCAGTGTATAGGTTGCCACCAGACCGTCACAGAGATAATATTTTGTGGTAAAAATCCAGGAAAAAATCCTAGCATTATCAACTCAGGTATGCAGACACAGACATGATTCATTTTGGTTTCATTTTGCAAGGGAAGCGGTCTCTTCCCTTCCCTCCTATGCTTGCTTGGATCAGGATGCAGGGCCAAGCCTGATCAAGGAGTCTCTATTTTACTACGAGACGCTAGGGGTGATCAACCTCTTTCACGGTTGAATGTACAAGATGGGGTCTAGCAATAAGTTAGACCTCTCATACCGATAGAACTTATTTCAATGTTATAAAAGAAGCGAACTTCTATCTTGGAGTTGAAAAAAGCATGATTCTCCTTCCACATTTACTCTTGCAATCCTTATTGTAAGTGCGATAATAGGAATACAAAAGTCCTATTTATTTTTCTTCAAAAGTGTACATCCCTCGAAGTCATATGACACGTTTTGTCTGTAGTAAATCTGTATGTGATGTTACCATATATAAAGCCACACCAATTACACATACTTCATGCATTTTGTACATCAGAGACGCTGCCTCCTGAAGTCATGCTACGGAAGATGCTTTGCAGGCATCAATAACCGTGAACCATCTACTGAAATCTTTGGTTGATGTGATTATGATATGTTACTGACTCCATCAAACCCCGCCTTTTTTTTCACACTTAATCTCTGAGAAGTTTGCCGATAACTAATGCAATAACTCGTATCTGTTTATAGCTGTCACAGAGACAACATCATCTTAATATCAAGAAAGTGTCCCATAAAACTAATAGGTTCAATCGGCAGACTCTTGAAATGTCATTGGGCATGTTGCAGGGAGTGTCTTGAGTGGCGGTGGGAGCACACCACTTCCAGAGGCAAGTGCAGAGGATTGGGTCAATATGATAAATGGCTATCAGAAAGGTTCTTTGTCCAGTAGATTGGGTATCCCAATGATATATGGAATAGACGCTGTTCATGGGCACAACAACGTGTACAATGCCACAATTTTTCCGCATAATATTGGTCTTGGCGCAACAAGGTAAAAAAAGTGTTACTTCTTGTGGGTATTGTAATGTTATAGCTTTAAAAATTATCTACCCTCTAATGTGGTATAGAGTTCTGAGATACTGTCCTGTCCGATTTTTTACTGCATCAATTTTATATCAATTTCTGAAATACCAGCATGTGACTTGGTAGGTTTAGTAATCTGAATTAGTATCATTTGGTTTGAACTTGCTTGCCTGTACTTCCTTCAAGGCATAATATTTACCTGATATGCCATTTACTCCAGAACTTTGAAAATAGTTCTCTGGATCAATCTAAGTGGAATTTTTCATTGATTATTACCTCATGTGCAGAGACCCCGACTTGGTGAAAAAGATTGGTGCTGCCACAGCCCTTGAAGTCAGAGCCACAGGGATTCCTTACGTCTTTGCTCCCTGCATTGCAGTAAGCAGCTTAAACTAAATGTTGACAGAATCAAGCAAAAACATATCTGATAGACGCTTCTAAAGCTGTCAAATATGCCTTTTCAGTGCATCTTTATAGTACTTTCAGAATTTTATTTCTTGAAACTATTTTGATAGGTTTGCAGAGATCCAAGGTGGGGTAGGTGTTATGAAAGCTATAGTGAAAACGAGGAAATTGTGCGACAAATGACCGAGATTATACCTGGATTACAAGGGGATATTCCTTCTGGCTCTCGCAAAGGAGTTCCATATGTTGGTGGAAAGTATGAACTCTATGGCTTTCTAGTGTAGACTGGAGATTCAAATTGTAATGTGCTAAGTTATTATGTCTAGGCGGTACCCTTTGTTTTAAATGGGAAATATTTCTTAAGCAATTCAACATTTTCTGATGATTACATGATATGCCATATATGACACGCCCGGCGCCCTGGAAAGTGCATTCTCTCTGATCAGCCAAAACTGTAGTCATGTTTCTCTATGATTAGTTCCTCGGTCCGTCAATTACTACTGATCTTCTGGCACCATCTTTACTAAGAAATGCTCTGTCTTTAGTATTGAAGTCCCGTCAACTTTGATCTTTTCCTGTTCTAGTTGTCAGTTGTCAATATCGAATTGCCTTTCTAGATTATCCTCCTTGGTTTTTACATCAAAATTTCCACAGGAACAAGGTTGCAGCGTGTGCAAAGCACTTTGTGGGTGATGGAGGAACTACCAAGGGGATCAATGAGTACAACACCGTTGTTGACATGCATGGTTTGCTCAGCATCCACATGCCTGCTTATACAGATGCAATAATTAAGGGTGTTCAAACAGTCATGGTCTCTTACTCTAGCTGGAATGGAGAAAAGATGCATGCTAATCGTGACCTAGTTACTGGTTTCCTTAAGGACACCCTCAAATTCAAGGTTCGATCCACTCTGCATCGTTTCAGCTATATGCATGATTAGCACACCACAGCGGCATTTCATACTGCTCAACAAATTGTGTCCTCAGGAGAAGGTTTTTAGGAGTCCCGAGATGGGAACAAAGGTTTATATATGGCATTAGGTGGTCACATGATGTGCATAAAGAGTTCTGCTTTTGTTATTCCTAGCATTATAGTGTTTGTGCAAGTTTTTTTCAATGCTGATCCTCCATCAAATTGGGATGTCCGATTAAAATTCATTTTGAAAAACTCATCTTTTAGCCTCAACAACCTACATTCTTCATGCTCTGTTCATATGAATTTTCTGCCATCCTAGACTAATTTACTTAAAAATTTTCAAGCACTAGGCAAACTTGATGCATGAGAAATTATGTGGTCTAGCAATCTGCTTCTCTGTATGGCCTAATCATCATCTACATCTCCTGTGTTCTATCTATTTATATTCTAGTTCCATCGGTGCTACTCATCTATGTCAAATCCTCGTATATATAAAATATTTTAATAGTTAGCTTCTTGGTTGCTGAACACCATATACTGCCATGCACTTGATTGCAGTTATCCGACAAGTCGCCCACTTGCCAAATATCTTCATTAACACCCATATTCTGCCACAAACTAGCTCTGTCAAATGTTATCTACGCATCTTCACTTTTTGGAAGACATACTTTATTGAGATGTAATTGACGGTAGATCACAGTTATTAAAAGATATATAGTAGATCCCTGTTGAAGGTGGTTAAATCTAGGGTGTTGTGTATTAAGTCATCGTAAAATATCCATGTCACAGAATATCAAGCACTTACTCTTGGATATTTCAATGAATTTTAGGGCTTTGTTATCTCAGACTGGCAAGGCATAGACAAGATCACTTCTCCTCCACATGCAAACTACACCTATTCTGTAGAAGCTGGAATTTTAGCTGGCATCGATATGGTTAGGTTCTCTCTGCTATTTGATATTTTTACAACTGTCTTTTAAGAGATAGCTCCACATTTGACTTAAGATCAAAGCAAATGTAGTTAACACCTAGTCTTGGTTTTGTGTCTTCAACAGGTCATGGTCCCTTTCAATTTTACAGAATTTATTGATGATCTAATTTACCTAGTTAAAGAGAAGGTTATACCTATGGATCGAATTGATGATGCAGTGGAGAGAATATTGTCTGTTAAGTTCACCATGGGCCTCTTTGAAAATCCTCTGGCTGATCTTAGTCTGGTGAACGAACTTGGAAGCCAGGTTAGTGAAGTTATTGTTCCATATGAACATTCCAAGTTTCCATACTAGATCATGAGATCTGCGGGGGCTTGGTGCTAAGGCAAACGAAAAACACTTTACAAAGGATTGGGCATTTTACTTGGCATATTCCATGAAGCACCGTCATTTTTCAGTTACATATGCTTGAATTTCTTTATTTTCTCCCACTGCTATTGTAAGTAAGCTAACCTACATCACCATGGATAATTACTTGTCCTGTTAGTGTACCAGGCACACAGAGAGTTGGCAAGGGAAGCTGTGAGAAAATCTCTTGTGATGCTGAAGAATGGGAAAAATGAGACTGACCCTTTACTGCCACTTCCAAAGAAGCCAAAGAAGATCCTAGTTGCAGGTAGTCATGCTGATAATTTGGGTTATCAGTGTGGTGGATGGACGATCGCCTGGCAAGGATTTAGTGGAAATAACTACACCAGAGGTACTACTGCTGCTGCTGCTGCTGCTGCTACTACATCTACTACTTCTTTGTGTCTTCTTCTTCAGTTCTATCTAAGGATGTTGAAGTATTGTCCCACATCACTTGACAACGGGTCTTAAATACTTTTTATATTCATGTGGTCTCCCTCCATCTCTCAGTCCAATGCTATCCCTTTCACGAATGTGCGTCCACCCCCACTCATAATTCGGCTTGCACGCTCTTTATATTCATGTGATCTTCCTCCACCTGAAGCTTTTGGGTTAGAATTTCTAACAAAGGACTGTTTACACATATTGGTTCAAGAATTCTCTCATGCAATATTGACCTATAAGGGTTGTATAGCATCATGGCATTTCGTTTTCTTGAACAATTAAAGTCTTTTGTTTTGTTTCTGAAAGGAGACAGCAGGATAAGCATCTAAATGGTAAGCTTTGCAATGAAGAAAGCTTAAAAAGTTTGTGGTCAAACTAGTTATGCATTATGGTAAAGTGAAGATCTAGGTCATTTGTTTAATTACCCTGGTTTTGTTTCCATGTTGTGTTGGGAAAGGTAATGGTGGCATGAGGTTCCTCAGGAAAGGAGAAAGAAATTATCATTGAAGCCTGAACTTGCTAAGGAGGGCATTTGGCATTGTTCAATCCTGTGCAGACTTGCATGCCGATAACTGTGTCGTCTAATCTTTACCTAAAAGTTAAATTAAGAAAACTATTTGGTCTAGTCCAGAGATTACATACTATTGGAGCACAATCCTTGTCCTGCCTTGATCTCCTCTGGTGATGTTAAGCGCTCTTGTTCTGGGCCTGTTGGTTTTTAGTTACTAAGGATACGTGAAGTATAATCTTTCAGGTTCCTCTGAAGACAACTAAATGGAAACTTTTGTATTGATGGTTTTTTTTTATGCTGCCACAGGAACTACCATCCTCAGTGCCATAAAGTCTACAGTGGATTTGAGCACAGAAGTAGTCTACCAAGAAAACCCCGACAAGGATTTTGTTAAGTCCACTGATTTCGATTATGCTATTGTTGTTGTGGGTGAGCACCCTTATGCAGAGACCGCTGGAGATAGCATGACACTTACAATGGCAGACCCCGGTCCCACCACCATTACCAATGTCTGTGAGGTTGTGAAGTGTGTGGTCATCGTAATTTCAGGGAGACCTCTTGTGATTGAACCATATATTTCTTCAATTGATGCCCTAGTGGCAGCATGGTTACCGGGCACCGAAGGTCAGGGAGTGGCTGATGTTCTTTTCGGGGACTATGGTTTCAGTGGAAAGCTTCCGAGGACATGGTTTAAATCTGTGGATCAACTACCGATGAATTTTGGGGATTCGCACTACGACCCACTCTTTCCTTTTGATTTTGGACTTAAAACTGAGTCTGTCTCGGGCCTTGTAGCAAGGTAACTACTATTGGTGAATTCATTCTAAGGGGGTGAGCTCCAAAATTAAAACTGCTTTGGCGTTAAGATTATGTTGATTGGCTTATGCTGTCTATAATTTGGGTTGGCAATTGACAAATGTGGTTGCACGCTTATTGGAGATTAGACTACTTTAGATTTTTTGCATTGCCATGTGAATCATTCAATTCTTTTCCTTAACATTACCGTGGTATCTGATAATTTTTTGTTCGAAGAACTTGCTCTTTGTTGGTGTGGTGGTGATATGCTCCAACTGAATTTATCTCAATGATGACTGTAGATGGTGATGGTTTATTTACCAATATGCAATCCTGAAGTGCAAGTAATAGCTGTTACCCTGTATATTTGACAAGACAATAACCTGGTTCTTCTGTGCTGAATCAAATTTCTCTATACAGGGCTACCTCAGACGGCGCTGATTGGAGACCACACCCCCTAATGGTCATGGCCTGCTTAGCTTTCGGCCTATATTTCACAGGTACGTTGACACGACTTCCAACTGTCCATATCATGCTTCCATGGCTTGTTGCTCGACTTTGCTTTCAACTGGTTGATTTCTTTGTCATTTGTTTTCTGATGCCAGTAGGTTATAGGTGGCGGGCGTCGGAGGTCGAATTGATATGGTAGAAGATTTAGCTTCTGTAGTTCATTTGAATGTACTCCGGGGAGAATGATTTATCTCCTTGTATCTTCTTGTAGCCTTATTTGATTCATGAGAGCAAAATAGCTTCTCCCTCCCCAACTCTGCATTCCGACGGTGTAACGACGCGGGTTTCCGGAACTATATATCGGAGCATTTGTTGGGATCTTCTATGGTTTATGTATCTATATCTTCTTCACCACTCTCGAGAGGCGGAGTTCTGTGCACAGGTGCGGTTAGTCGGAACACGGAGACGTCGAAACTTCTCAAATTCCTGCAAATTAAGTAACGTGTCGATCATCGGAATTTCTCGATCATCCTTGAAAAAATTTCGGTGCCATGACATCCCCCGGTGCCATTTGATTCGACGAAGTGTGTCAAGCCTGTGAGATTAAAAATGTTCATCCTAATGACTGACCGGAGGTCATTGAGAATAATAGGACAGCGGATTCTTAAAAGCTCGTATTGTACTTACGTCGGCATTTTGGGTTTTCTAGCTCGATCGCTGATCATAAACGAAAAGGAGCCTTGATCACTGAAAATGGCACCGTTTGATTGCGCATGTCCTAGCTCAAATACCGGAGCTACTCTCCCTGATTTATGAATAAGCAACAAATAAGGCGGTGGTTTTTACATGTCGACACGTTTATAAAGTTACTAATGTAATTCTCAAAATCACTCACTTTTGAAAAATTACTGCCATTAATTTGAAAATTACCGACCATGTTTGAAAAGTCGGTGATTTCAACTTAACGTGGTTTTTGAACTATTCGTAAACGAGTAATGAATTATTAATTTTAACAATTGATTTACTATCCTTAAAAAAAAAATCTGAATTGGGCCGAATACCGTAGCGATACCAGATAGAAGGCCCAGGCCCAAGCCTCGTTCCGAGACGCGAAGGAAAGCTACGCGTGGACAAACTGGTGGTGGGGGGCATGCGACACGCGGCAGTCTCCTACAGGTCCACGGCTGAAAATCGATTTTTTTTCCCCTTATTTTCCGGACGATTTTCAAATTTCAAATCGCGCTCCAACGGTCATATTTTGCCCCTAGGGTTTCCACCAACGTCTCTCTCTCTCCCCCTCTACGGGCTACAAATACTCTCTACACCGTCCGGTCTCTGCAGATTTGCACCAAAACGCCTTGTTTTGACAAACGCCAAGCCCTCTCTCCGATCTTCTCCGACGCCGAATCCGTGGTCGCGATCTCTCGGAGCTGAAATGGAATTCCACACGCTGTCGAGGAGGGAGCTCCAGGTGCTGTGCAAGAGGAACAAGATCCCCGCCAACATGACCAACGCCGCCATGGCCGATGCCCTTGCCGCTCTCCAACATGTAATTAACCCATCTCCTCTCCTTCTCAGTGATTCCGATGATGATTCGACGGTGTATCGCCATCGATTTCGCCGCCGGCTGATTCGGTGAATCACGAGATTAGAGAAGGAATGTTTTGAAGGCAAAAAAAAAAAGTACTTTTGGAACAGTTTTGTGGGTTTAATAGTGGTTGAACTGACTACAAGGAGAAGGAATCGATTCGTATGCAGTTGGGATCTATTTATAATGGGTCGAGAGATCTTATTTTCCAGTGTAGAATGTCCTTGACGGGATTTAAATATTGAATGGGGTTGAGTAATTTTCGATAACATGAAGTTGCTTGAAAATCTGAGTGGAGAGAGAAATTTTCTTGTTTTTCTCCTGTTTCATCTAATTGGTTTTGCTCATACTTAAGATTTTAATGGAAATTTATGTAACAGGTGGAGGGGTTGGAAGAGTTCCTCAATCCATCCGAACCTAATGTTGCGATGCAATCGCCGGAGAAAGCTCCACCTGAAACTCTAGCGGTTCTTCGAACTGCGACTCGAGCCTCGGCTAGAGCCAAACCTACTAAGGATCCCGACAGCTCGCAGGTCGTGTCCCGTGCTCGCCGCAGCACGGTGGGCAGTAGGCACGCTGCAGCAGATCAGGAGAACAAACAAGTCAATCTGCCAGATACTCCTGCCGTGCCGAAAACCGGAAAAAGAGCCGGGCTTGCCTCGGCTCGGAGAAGACCGGAGGCTACGAAGAGAGAAGAGAAGAATGAGGAAGAAAATCGGGATGTACCAAAGTCTTCAACAGTGAAGGGCACGCAAAGACAGGCCCGAGCATCTGCAGTGCCAAGGGTATACAGCACGAGGAGGTCGGCAAGGTTGTTGGAGAAGTCAATGTCTGAGCTGAAGGTGTCTGAGGAAAGAGCCTCAGAATTGGAACCAATTAAAATGGATGATCTGGATTCGAAAGAAGAATCAGAAGAAGTCCTAGAAGAAATTCAAGAGAATAAGAATGCACTTGGTAGGTGTTTAATTTCACAGACGAAATTGATTTAGGAGTTATGAATTGGATAGAGTTAGAAGTATATATGACACTTTTCTTTATCATATTTATGTTTTTGTTGATGATACATTTGGAAGGAAGCAGACGACTATCTCGAGTCACTTTAATATGATGAAAAAAATGAGTTTTGGTCATCTATGTAAGAGTAGTTACTTAGTCATAGATTTTAATGAATGATAGTTCTGATTAGCGCCATATTATATATGCAGATGCTGATTCCCAGGCTGCAGAAGAGGAGAGTTCAAAGAGACCCGATCATTCAAATGTTCCTGTTGAGAAGTCAACTGGAATAGAGGAGAAGGAAAGAGAACTGCTAAGTGATGTGAATGTGAATGTGAATGTGGAGAGCAGTTGCGTCGGGGCTCTTGGTTCCGAGGTACTCCTGGAAGCTGAATGTGGCAAATCTGATTGCCTGAGTGCACTTTCTGATTCAAACTTGAAAGATGATGTCCTTGATGAGAAGTTAGATCAGTTGGATGACAACCTACATGGTAAGTTGAGTTATTGTATATTTTCTGGTACATTATTCACTGCAATCACGAGTATCATGCTAATCAATACAAATTGCTCTGTAGTGTCGACGTTGAACCAAGATGCGCCACCAATAGACAATCAAAGTGATGACATTGATGTTGCTGTGATATGTGGGACAGAAGAGAATGGTTTAGAGAATCCATTACTTCCCGAAGAGCAGATGGTGGAAAATAATGAGGGAGTTCTAATTTCTGAGTCAATCACGAGTATCATGCTAATCAATACAAATTGCTCTGTAGTGTCGACGTTGAACCAAGATGCGCCACCAGTAGATAATCAAAGTGATGACATTGATGTTGCTGTGATATGTGGGACAGAAGAGAATGGTTTAGAGAATCCATTACTTCCCGAAGAGCAGATGATGGAAAATAATGAGGGAGTTCTAATTTCTGAGACAATCATCTGTACCTCTGATGATTCAGATCAACTAGTTCCTCATATCACGGCCAACTCAGATCGATTAGTCCCTCATTGCGATGATTTTCAGGAGCCAGTTGGGAACAATGACGCGGGTGTTGAAATTTCCATGTCCAGTCAATTGGAAATTCGGGACATTGCTCCTGTTGAGCAAGAAGAAAGTATCAAGCTTGACCAGTTGATGTCTCCTTGTCCTGTTAGTCCAGTAGTTCAGACAGAGAAGCATGAGGATGAGCAATTGGTTGAAGTCGACGTGATCGAATCAGAAGAGTTCGCCATGGAAGTCCGTGAGTGGCACAAATCATTGGTTGAAACTTCTGCAGCTGCAAAATCATCAGAAGTGAATGCACCACACATTCAAGAATATGCCGATCTTCAAGGGCTAGTTGATGTTCATGTGATGCAAGAAGTGGAATTTGTCGAAGGAGCTTGTGAATTACCTCCATCTGCCATCGGAGACAAGACTCCAATTAATGTTAGCAACATAAGCCCACATTCTCCTCTCGCTGTGAATGGTAAAGTTGCGCTTTCCCCGTTGACAGCTGACCGACTGCCAAAGTCTCCTATGCTGATGAAGTCATCGAGTAAGAAGAAGTCCACGGTCAGAAAGATGGCCAATAAGCTGGACAATAACAAAGAGAACATGGGTATTCTACCCTCCCCATTAGCAGTAGCAGCTGACCAGCTGCAAGTGAAGTCATCAAGCAAGAAGCAGCTGGACAATAACAAAGAGAACATGGATATTCCACCCTCCCCATTAGCAGTAGCCACTGACCAGCTGCAAGTGAAGTCATCAAGCAAGAAGCAGTCTGCACTGAGAAAGATGACCACTTTGCTAGGTGACGACAAGGAGAATATGCAGAAGGGGGGCAGAAAAGTGGAGCCAAATACAGAGAAGGCGAAAAAGAAGAGCGAGGAAGAGAAGATTACAGATGAGGATAGAGTGCTGGAGTCCTTGCAAAAGAAGAGCCTCAGGCAGTTGAAAAAGATGTTCAAGGAAAAATTGGGAACGACCGAAACCGAAAGGGAGAAAGATGCCACTGAGGTATGCTGATTTTGCTTGGTGATGTTTTCTACTTGCTTTGTGGTTCGGTAACAATGCATCATTATTCGGTTGCTTCATAATGATTAACTGTTCCCTAAATGTTGAACAATGCATCATCATGATTAACCGTTTCGCAAATGTTTAACTGCAGCAGCAGCAATTGGGGAGTGCGAGACCGGCTCTGCGGGTGCTGTCTGAAAACCAAATGGCTCTGGGTGAGGTAGAGGGTAACTGAATTCTACGGTTTCGGGCAGGTGCTGTCAGAAAACCAGCCGGTTCTGGGTGAGGTTAAGGGTAACTGAATCTATGGTTTGGGGTATATGTTTTTGATCTGGAGGGCGCAAACCTCGGTTTGCATCTATTGAGTTCTTTTGTGATGTAATAAGAATCAAATGAAGACCATTCTGATTTGCTAGTCTTACACTCTCTCTCCTTTTACTTAAAGTTGGTTTACGGACCAGATTGCGGAATTTTTTCAATTCCTCAAAGTCTGTCAATTAATGTGCAACATTTTGAGATCTCGCGCAGTAACTATTGTCGAGGTATATACTCCCCTATAAGGATGAAGATACTTGCCCTGACTTTTGGCCGTTCAAGTTTTATCTGTTTATTTATTTTTCCGGTCCCTCCATATTGTGGATGAGAAAGCTGCTTCCTTCTAGGATAAGAAAAATTCAATAGCTCTTAGAAATTATTTTCTTTGCATCAGAAACTTGCCCTAGTAACCTTACAGAAAGAAAATTTCAAATGTAAATTGTTGAGATCCAACCATCGCTCAACCATCATCGTTCAATTACTTTCTCATGCAAATCCCGTATCTTTCTTTCCTCGGCATATCAGATTTTATACTTGCTTCATATTTTCTTCTAAGCATTTATGTCATTTATAATTTCATTCCGATATCCTCCTGAATTCTCACAGATAATGGGCACAGCATAAAATTTATGTCATTGAATGAAACAGAGGCTGCTTTAACCCTCCTGAATTCTCACGGATAATATGGCCACAGCATAAAATTTATGTCATTGAATGAGACAGAGGCTGCTTTATTCGTGGGTTATGCCTCCAACCTATCTTTCTAAGAGCCCTGAAGCAGATTATGCCTCCAATCTATTACAAAGTAGCAGGCATTGTCAGATTGAGCAATCTTGAATTGATGGATCTGCTCTGTAAGTGGGTGTTCAGAAAAGCCATGGTCTTTGGTCCTCCCCTCCTGAGAACGAGCCGTCCAACCAAGTCTGATGCATGTAGATCCACATAAATCCACCAGGAACTGATGGATCTGCTCTGTAAGAGGGCGTTCAGAAAAGCCATGGTCTTTGGTCCTCCCCTCCTGAGAACGAGCCGTCCAACCAAGTCTGATGCATGTAGATCCACATAAAGCCACCTGGAAGTTCGGCATGCTGGATTCCATGAAAATGAAGGCTTAGTGACTGCTATAGAGTCTCAACAGAATCATAATCATTGTTAAGATCATGAGATGATGAAACACAAATCAACGGCATTAATTCAGCCATACCCTTGAACTGAGCAAGACTGTTGTCACACGGCATTCTCTATCTTTACCTGCAGAACGATTGAACTCAGAACCATTTCGAAGATGAATTTTCAGGTAGAGTTACTGAACGTATTTTTTCTCAAAAGCATCTCATTTGCCGGGATAGAATTGCCGCTGTCACATGTCACTACCATCTATTTATTAACCACCTACTACCCCCAACCAACCACGAAATTGTCGTCATTTTATAGATTGTAGTCACATGAGTAATATCGTGTTTCCAAAATGACCTTGGAGAATGTATCCAAATAATCGTTCTAATAAATAAGAGCAATTTAATCAAGTACCTAAGCAAACTTATACTAACCTGAAACAAATGGAGTTACAGTACCACTGAGATTTGGGGACAAACTACATAACCTTAGGAACAAAGTACATTTTGTGCAACAGCCCTTCCTATATGATAGAAAAAGATCCCATCATCCTGAACTGATCTTACCTGGGATCACAAATCCCAAGTTTGTCTAGGAAGAGCAGATCTAATTGAATTAGTGTCTTGAATTGATTTCTTTTGTGATCTTCAAGAACAATACATTCCAAAACCGTTTTACCAAGCCTAAAATTCAATATTATGGTAAGTGTCTATACCGTCAGCTTTTTAGGGGTCAACTTGGTTTAAAAAGCTTCACCCATTACATGATCAGTCAGGTTGAATGAAGCTTCAATTCTTTCCCCGCTGCAACCGAGATCAAGTCTACTCGAAATACACCTACTCACCATTTTGCATACTAAAATGAAGCTAAGATACAAGCTCGATTTCCAACTGACAGTGTGCTTAGGTGACAAGATAACATATATCAAGATCAATGCTTTATTTTAGGTAAACTGTAGACTTCAAGGTCATGCGAAACATATTTCATTCAATCAAACACTACTCAAAACTGAGGGAGTGCTTCCAATTGTGGAAGAAGTATCAATGTCAGGTGATCTAGAGAGAAAATTTGAGGTTAGAATTTCAGTTCAGTGTAGTCAAGCTCCAATTGAGCAATTGCTACGCCTATTTAGCTTTTTGGATTTTATGCTTCCCCTGGCACTACATTGGTCCTGAGTCAACATCGTGTCAACCAGAATCAGATGAGAATACATAACGACAAGTAGATGGAAGAATGGTTAGAAATGAGTATCCTACCACATAATTCACACTTATCAAATTTCACCAGCCACGTGTCTGAACATATCTGAGCTACAGAAACTCTATCAACCCATAATCGAAACTGCTTTCCCAGCTGATCTCCATATGAGTTGGCCATCTCATCTATGCACTGGGAGAAAGGAATCTCTATTCCAGAAGGATGTACAAAAGTACCCAGTGAATTCTGCACAGAAAATAATTAAAATTTTCTTTCACCAAGTAAAATGGCAAGACTTTCGGAATTAATAGATAAATTGATCTCCCAGAAGTAAAATGAGGTCATAGGCCCAGAACATGCAATAGAAGATGCCAAGTGAGCTAAGAAAATAGAACATGTAGCTTTTGCATTGACGAGCCTCAGCATCTCAAAATTACTGTAGAATCAAGAAAAAATTTCATCTATAGGAGAAATTACATTTTCTCTTAATTGCAGTAAACGGAATTGACTATGATGCTAGACTGATAAGTGACTACTAAAGCTCACTTTACCAGTTTTGCTTGCTGTGGCATGATATACATGAAGGACATGTTTATTCTTTCCATTTGAGGTCTTACTATATGCAGGACTATGCAAAATCTGTACCCTAACAGCTTAAAACCATGTCTTTGCTACTGCCACAATTCCTTTAATTTATATTGATTAATTAACTATAAAAAAAGAAGCTAAGATTGTGGAGACACGAGGTTAGACTTGTGCTGAGTGTACCCCGACAAATGCAGTGGACACAGGATTTGGGGGAAAAGATGGATCAAACTTACAAAGAGTAATCTTAAATGATCAATAAAATGGTCGGACCTCTCAACTTCACCACGTCGCCATCTCTCATAGAACAGATAAAATTTCACTACTTCATGACACGGATTGCACATTTCTATTGTGCATTTCAGAAAGTCCCGTATATCCCTTGGAGAAACATTTGGACCGAGACTAAAAGTCCCAATCGCTTGGATGATTCCAGCAGCACATCTCTCTGTTGCATGAGTAATTTGATGGTTATTCTTTGCATTTTCTGAGTACCACTCTAATAATTCCTCCTGCGCATTGCTGACCTGCATATGGTAGGAGTTACACCATGCAAATTCACTTATAGGACTCTGATTTTAGACTAAAACTAGTAAATGCTACGAACCATCACACCATGTACTGCAGGGACAGTGAATAGCTCAGCATCATTTCCAGAGTCACCACAAACAAGAGTATTAGAAGGGACACGTCCCTTAGCTTTGAACTTCTTAAGCAAATAAGCTAGTGCCTGTCCCTTCCCAGCACGTCTTGGCAATACATCTAAAGCAATTCCACTGCTGTAAATTATTTTCACATCTAGCTGTCAATCAATACAATACCAAATTAATAAGATTCTACATAATTGGACAAAATTCAGAGCAGTTCTGGTATGACATTGGATTTCTCACATTGCAGATATGACTATATTTTCATTATTACCCCATATTTCTCTAGACATTGTGGAAGATCTTTCATCACTTTCATGGCTTCGTCCTTCTTCACATAAAAGCTGACCTTGTGAGGCCGTTGGTCTATTTCTGGCTGAATTTCAGTCACGCGATTTTCAAAATTAGAGAGAAAGGTTAATCACTATCACGGACAACACTTTCTGACTTTAAGTTGGATGTCGCCAACTGTGATTGTGGAGAAACACATACAGCATGGAGCTCATGGAGCACAAGAACCTATCCAGTAAACCAGAAAGCAATCTTAAGCTAGAATACATACCTGAGGAGTAAGTTCAGGAAACTTTGCTGTTTCTCCTGTGACTACATCGCGATTCCATTTCTGATTCAGATAACACTCCCACTCAGCATCCGGTACCATTGACTCACCATACATGATTTCAGTTCCCACAGACATAATCGTGACATCAGGAGTCAGTAAGGGCTTCTTGATTTTCAACTGCTTGTAACTTTTTGGTGACCTTCCAGTGGAGTAGACTAGAAGAGAATTATCACGGTAAAAAGCTTCCCACAGTGCATTAAACCTAAGAAGAGAGAGATTCTCTGGATCAAGATGATCAACCTGCAATGAAATATCTCAATTCCGCAACAAGAAGGAAAATAAAATTCATGTGCAACAGGCAGAAAAGCTACCTACCATGGTAGAGTCAAGATCCGATACTATCATGAGGCGTGCAGCACCATCAAGACGATCCATTATTTTCACACACAAACTCTACAAATAGGCAACAAGAGCAACTGCTAGTGGAATTAGTAAAAAAATCCTAAACAGGACAAAAGCTCTCTATGAGTGTAAATTAACATAAACTGATTCGTATTACCTGAAGGTCGGAAATTTAAACTAAAACAGGATAGTGGATTATCCTACAGAATGCGACTGTGATATTCTATATCCTTTGGCTACAAACTACGATCAAATCTTCATTGTTTCAAACTTCAAGCACACCATGAATGTCTTATGTGGAAAATGCATAGTTTTCTACAATGCAACTGTTCCTGAACAATTCAATTTACTCTCGACAACCACCCAATTTCATCAGTAAAGTTCTCAGATATCCCATGATGAGAAAAATGAAATGCTTGTAGTAGAATACTATCATACACACGACTTGGAATCTGACAGGGAGCGCAAACATACTCGATCGCTCCATTCCCAGATATAAAGTTCAGCCCGGCTTAAACGAATTTCCAGCAACAGAGCAACTAGTAAGCCATGAGATGGTTAATCGATCGCTAAGCGCATTCCCAACAACGCGCTCCTCAGAGAATCTATCACGCACGACTGGCGGATTAAGCTATATTATTAAACAGAATAATGAGATGCATAGCCACTTCCACTAGAGTTTTCTCAAAGGCAACCGGCTGCTGGGTCTCATAGAAAAATACATACGCAGAACAAAGAAAAAGATAAAAAAAAATCCTTTCTTTACGGCGTTAACTCGCATAGTATACCGTAGCTTCCTGTACAAAAATGCAAACAAGACGTTCTTCGTTCTTCCTTAGCAACTTCCATGCATAACAATGCTCTAAACCCGAAATCAGAAGAACCCAAAAGAGCATCGAAAGTGGGGTTTAGATCCTTCCGAAAATCGGAACATTCAACACCGGCAAACATATGTCGACCAAAACACACGACCACTCACGGATACCCACCTGTTTTCTTCTGGGATTTCTGCTTCGGGGAGAACGGTCCGGGAGTATCAGGGCGGGGAAGACCCACGATGCGAGACGAATCGAATGATGAGAAACAACGCGAATGGGGAAATCCGAAGAAGGGTAAAGATCAGAGATGGAAAGCGATGGGCAACGAGAGCATTCTTGAAGACGGAATATACCTGCTTGCTGGTCAGTGGACACCACTTACTCTTCTCCTCCTTCTTCTTCTTCTTCTTCTTTAACCAAGATAACCGCTCCTAAATTCTCCTAACTCCCTCCGCCATGCATCTTCTCTTTTCTTTTAGCCAAAAAAATGATACAAATGGTCTCCGAAATTTAGAGCAACGTGCAATATAATCTTTGAATTTTTAATTTTTTTTAATGTGATTTATAAATTTTTTGTGCATGCTCAATTTAGTCTAAAGTTTAATGTTCAGACACTAAATTGAATATGTACGAAAAGTTCATGTACCATATTGAATAAATTAAAAGTTCAAAAATCATATTACACATTGGGCTAATGTTTAGAGATTATATTGAATAAATTAAAATTTTGGAGATCATATTGCACGTTAAATCAAATTTTAGAGATTATTTGTATCATTATTCCTCAACTTTATTGACGAAGCAATAGAGGTTTTTTTTGTCAAGAAAACTGAGAATGTCTATTTTTTTAGGTAACATTTAACGCCATGCAGATAGAAAAACTGAAGACTACAACAAAAATCAAAACTTGGGGGCCTAATCTGTAACTTTTACAAAGTTTTGGGGCTATTGCACTGTGGAGGGAAAGTTGAGGGCGGTAATTGAAATAGGTTTATAGTTCCGAGGCTATAGTGCATCTTCCCCAAAATTTATGAGGGTTTTGAGCAATTGTCCTTTATTTTTTCTTAATGGCAATTAAACTATGGACATCGAAGAGTTAGCAACTTTTTTTGAGTCTATGAGACTTCTTATATGATTTTTTATAAAAATATTTCGCCTAGTCTACAAATTATGGCTTATCCATGTACACATTGGATCAGAATGCGAAACCATAAAAATATAATGTTTCAATTACAATTTATTTGTATACAAAATGCAAACCAAAAAGAAAGAACAAAGAAGATTGATTGAAACTTGTCTTTTTTTTTGTAGTTTTTTTCACCAATGACACCACACCCATAATTTTTTTCCGTAATTACCAGGTTCCTTAATAAGGTAGATCATGCCATCAATGTCAGTTACAATGTTTATGACACACGAATTTCAATTTTATCAAAAAAAAAAAAGACACGAATTTCAATAATCAACATTTCATATTGGTCTATCGCTAACTAAGGGTGTCAATAGGCCGGCTTGGTTGGGGTTCCCACTAATACTTCACTTGAGTCGAATGTGAGGGGTATATGTCTTTGTGATCGTATCGGGTTCTCCTCTTCCGTCTTCTTCTTTTGAACTGTGTATTCATTTTTTTATCGTCTCGACCCAAGTTTTAGAGATGTAATCCGCCGTCCAATAACGTCCCAACTGGTTCAATGCAACTCAGACGTAAATTCTGTGCCATCCTTGGGACTTGGATCTCGCCCAAATAACGAATGAATGGCGAAATTCGGATGATAATGCAAACACATGGTGTGAAAAATCTGTCTTGGTCTTTGAAGCTCCTGTCTGTCCTTGTTCGATCAAGAATGCAAAACACAACCTGAAACTCCCTCGCATTTGCTTCACTCTTTACTGATGCATTTCAATCCAAACTTCATGGCTCGTTCCTTGTAATGTTGGCCGACCAAACTACGGCGAATGGCGAAATGTTTTCTTCAATTCTTGCACCTTCAGAAAAGCAGACTGCTGATGCATAAATGTAATCCACACAGAGAAGGAACAAATTTAGTAGGTGAAATGTTTGCTTCTGGCCGTGGAAGCTCCGTAGTTAGGCCTCAAGGCTGGGACTAAGGGCGTTGACAAGGCCCTTATTGTTTTGATTTGGAAACAAGTTCGATAATTTATTCCGGGTTGGTTCAGGTTTTATGATCCAAAACAGAACCGAACCACCAGAAGCCCGTTGTTTCACTTAATACCGAATTGAAAGGAAACTTGATCAGAAACACCCGAAAGCTTTTGTTTGATTCAGGTTTCGGTTCGGAGGGTTCTTTTTGACATGCTTATCATTAAGGGCTTGGAACATTCATATAAGTCCATCTTACTAGAATGGAAACATCAGGTTTATGACTCTTCCATAAGATAAAAATCCATATAAACAGATCAGCAATAAGTATCGCACATCTATGAAAAATTAGAGAGAAAAAAAACAGCACAGCAGCATAATGCAAATTCCCAAGAACTAACCACCCTTTCATTAATTCAGAAAATGAATGGGATAAGAGCCTTGACATCTTCAGGAAAATCCTCAAATTTGGAAGTGTACCACCTCCTAGTGGCATAACTCCTGCCCAGAAGGTAGAAAAATGTGGCCAGAGACCAGGAACAAGAATAGACTGTCTGGGAAATGAATGAAATCCCCACAAAATCTATGACCTCAAACAAGTAGTGTGGACAAATGACCCAGCCAAACAGTCCCTCCTTGGGGATCTTGTACTCTCTGTCACCCTCTTGCCTCAGTTTGGAGAGGAGGATATGGTGGTACAAGTTGCCGGTTAACCCGATCAGGAATAGCGCTATTCCCGGATAGAGCAGGTCCACCGGTGGGTCAGGAAGACCCTGGGATAGGTGTTGTGAGTAGATCGATGTCACGGCTGAGAGGAAGTAGGCGAGAGAGATGACCACCGTGGAGTTCACACCCATTCGTCCACTGAACTTGTGAACCAACAACACCTGAGAAAAGGTTTAGGTTGAAATGAATTTGCTCTGAAAAATTGTAGGAGCGAACAGAAGCTTAGGGCGGTTTAGTTCCGCCTAGATTCGCCATTTCATTTTCATTTGAGAACTGAAAAGAGTTGTCCCAAGAATACATTTTGCCACATTTCAGAAGGATTTGCAAATCGGAATTAAAGCTGCAAACTGCAGATTTGCAAATCGGAATTAGTAACTGTTCTTGTGCAAAATATACTTATAAGAAGGAAGTGTTTCGCATCGTTGAAGAATGTGTCGGGGCACTTGTATGCTCAACGAGTATCCCTCTGAAGCGCCCGTTAACATGACCTTCTTGGGAATACGAATACCAAAGACATACTCATACAATATTAAAAAGCAAACGGCTTTGAGGGTAGCTTAGGGAGAAGCAATAGAAAAGAGACAAGTGCAGCTTTACCTCGAGGATTCTCTTGAAGAAATGGAGGGAGATGGCTGATCGTAGGATCAGGAACCTGAGGCCCCCATCGGGGAAGATCAAGAAGGAAGCGGGGCCCGCGAGGAAAGCCGGCTAGTAGAGGACCAACATCCCGGTCCTGCTCGGGACTTTCTTGTAGGGGGTGAGGGTGAACTTGGAGTACTGTAGGTGCACTCCTCCCGCCTCCGACAAGCCCAAAATGGCCAGCGAGGCCACGATCACCACCGACATGGCCGTCATGAACACCGATGGAGGTGGTGGGTATATGAAATTCAGTATCATCGATATTACCATCCCTTTCCCTCTCTACTGTGTTTTTCTGCAGCTGAGATGATGAACCTTTGATAATTGGATGGTGATTTTGGTTGGAATTGTGGTATGTGATCGAACAGGAATTACAAGTGGGCCGACATATATTAAGTAGATGATAAAAATAAAACCACCCAACCTCCACCGCCACGACAACGACCCCACGACAACGACAAAATGAGAACTCGACCAGAACAGCAACAACAAGAAGTCAACAACGACAAGCACACGCATAAATAGGATACGTCAGCAGTAGTGGAAACCCAAGAAAAAGCTGGCTTAACTTGGCCACTGTGTCTGAGGTTTCCCTGCTTTCTGCCCACATCCAAGGCTTTCCATCTGGAGAAGATGCCACCTTCTAAGTACTATTATTTTGCTTTCATTCTCAAGCATGTTTGTAATTACTCGGAAGGCCTAATTGGAAGAACAAAAATGAGCCGAAGCTCACCTGGCCTCTCTCCTGAATCCTTGATTCAGATGCACGTCGTAACTTGGATCGGAACACGGCAAATTTCTACTTTTTTTACGTCGCAATGGTTTACAGAGGGATACGACGGGCTGTCATGACCAAGAGCGAATCGTCGCTACCTCCCTTGGACAATTCTAGAAAAACCCATCTTCCTAGATAATTGTAGCGACAACTAATGATGCTAAACGCGACCAATATATTAGCCACACAATTCTACGCCCTTCTCCTAAAATACTCCAACCACCTACTATTATATAATTCAATTCCTTATCTCATGTGATGATAGACTTAAGTCGTGGGGAATAGTTTATTCCGTTGCAACTTTGCTGATTTTATAATCGCCTAAGGAAGATGACTGGAAAGTCAATGAATTATGTCTTCGCCTACTTCGTATTCTGTAAAGGTGATTAGAAAGGATAAGGAAGGTACTCAAATTTTTATCGAGAAAAGATAGGCCATAAGAACATCAGGTGTAAACTTCTTCTCCATTGCTGTTTCTCAGTTTGTGGAAATAAATGTTGGTGTCGGCGCTTCTCGTGTCCGTCCTGATAAAAGTTGTCTTCCTCGACTGATCTCTATGAATATATTACACTCTGATCATCTTCTTTAGATTGGCTTTTAACTGAAAATTTTAGTTTGGACCAAATTTATCGCCATATATTGGACAAATGCAATGAATTTTTGTTGCCTTTTTCCAATCTACGGCGATCAAAAATGAGTTCTGTCGACTTTGAGCGAGACAACCTCATTTTGCCGGACTTCATTATCCTTATCACCAAACCAACCTAGTTTACTGGTGATCATGGTAATGTAAAACAACAGAAAATGCTGTTGATTACAAGAACATTCCCTGCGAGTCGACAGTCGACTTGAGGCCTTCCTAACTTCGTGAACCTACTTTTGCATAAAATGCGCCGTGCTCAACATTACTAAAGAACCGCAATAGCACCAATGGGACACAATGGGAACTTTGATGACACATAAATTTGCTTTCTAAATAAACTAGACGACTCCCAGTCACCTTCGATCCCAATCAAGTCAGATAACCAAAGCCTGAATAGATCTTCTCATGCTGTTACATGTGATTCATATAAACACAAGATCTAGAAGCATTTCACAATGAATAGAACCAGAGCTCCATTGCAATGATGTTTACTGTGGTATCATCCCACCCAGATCTTTCAATACACATTGAAAAGAGCAGCAAACTAAAAAATTTGAGCTACAATACGCACCTCAGAAGAAGTTCAGGAAATTTTGCTGTTTCTCTTGTGACTACATCGCGGTTCTATTTCTGATTCAGATCACACTCCCATTCATCATCCAGTACCATTGACTCACCATACATGATTTCAGTTCCCACAGACATAATCATGACATCAGGAGTCAGTAAGAACTACTTGATTTTCAACTGCTTGTAACTTGTTGGTGACCTTCCAGTAGAGTCCCACCACATTGCATTATACCTGAAAGAAGAGAGGTTCTCTGGATCAAGATGATCAACCTGCAATGAAATATCTCAATTCCGCAACAAGAAGGAAAATGAAATTGATGTGCAACAGGCAGAAAATGCTACCTACCATGGTGAAGTCAAGATCCACTACTATCATGAGGCGTGCAGCACCATCAAGCCGATCCAGTATTTTCACCCGCAAACTCTAGTAGGCAACAATAGTTACCGCGAGTGGAATTAATAAGCAAATCCGAACCCTAGACAGGAGAAAAGCTCTCCATGACTGTAAAGTTAACATAAAGAATTCATAATGGGGTAGCTCATTATCCTACAGAAGGTATCTCATTTTTTTATATCCTTTAGCTACAAACCATGATTAAAGTCTTCCTTACCCAAAAAAAAACTATGATTAAAGTCTTCATTGTTTCAAACTTCAAGCACACAATGATTGTCTTATGTAGAAAATGCATGGTTTTTTACAATGGAACTGTTCCTGAACAATTCAATTTACTTTCAACAACCACCCAATTTCATCTGATCAGTTGTCAGACATCCCATGATGAGAAAAATGAAGTACTTGTAGTAGAATACCATCATACGCACAACATGTAATCTGACGGAGCACAAACATACTCAATCGCTCCATCCTCAGAAATAAAGATCAGCTCAGCTTAAAGGAAATTCCAGGAACAAAGCAACCAGTAAACCATGAGATGGTTAATCAATCATTAAGCGCACTCCCAACAACGCATTTCCCAGAGATTCTATCCTGCACAATCAGTGGATCAATCTATATTATTAACAGAATGATCAACTGCATATCCACTTCGACTAGAATTTCCTCCAAGGTAACTAGCTGTATTTAAGAATAAAATCCATACACAGAAACCTTTCTTTGTGGGGATAAGTTGCATCATATAGCGTAGCTTCCTGTACTAAAATGCAAATAAGCTGTTCTTAATTCTTCCTTAGCGAGCTCCAGGCAGAACATCAAAAAACCATAATCAGAAAAACAAAGAGCATTGACGTGTGATTAAGATTCTTCGAATATTAGAACAATTAACGCCAGACGGAACTCTTTGTAAGGGCAAATCGATGTCAATCAAAACTTCATCGACACACAGATTCCCTCTTTGTTGTTTTCAGGGATTTCTGCTTCGGAGAACGGTACAGGAAAATCATGGGCCACACCAGTAAACTTTTTTCCAAGAAAGATTAATCGAGAGCCTTTTTTTCTTTATAATTTTTTTTTTCAATCAATGATGGACCACACCAGTAAACTTTTTTCTGTAATTGAGTAGATCCTTAATAAGGTACATGATGTCATCAATATCACTAGCAACTCGGAACATTCATATGTGTCAACCTTACTCGAATGAAACATCAGATATTAGCCTGTATACGACTCTTTCTGTTAACAATAATCCATTGTACGAGTGTCCTTCCAATCACCACTCTCTTCAATTCAGAAAATGAATGGAAGAAGAGACTTGACATCTTCAGGAAAATCCTCAAACTTGGAAGTGTACCATCTCCTGGTGGCGTAACTCCTGCCCAGGAAGTAGAAAAATATGCCCAGAGTCCAGGAACAAGAATAAACTGTCTGGGAAATGAATGAAATTCCCACAAACTCTATGACCTCAAACAAGTAGTGTGGGCAAATGACCCGGCCAAACAGACCACCCTTGGGGATCTTGTACTCTCTGTCACCCTCTTGCCTAAGTCTGGAGAGGAGGATATGGTGGTACAAGTTGCCGGCTATCCCGACCAGGAATAGTGCTACTCCCGGATAGAGCAGGTTGACCGGGGGCTCGGGCAGACCCTGGGACAGGTGTTGCGAGTAGATCAATGTCACGGTCGAGAGGAAGTAGCTGAGAGAGATGACCACCATGGAGTCCACACCCATTCCTCCGCTAAACTTGTGAACGCACAAGACCTGAGAAAAAGTGCCTTGGTTGAAATGAATTTGCTCGAGAAGTTATATGAGCGAAACGGAAGCTTAGGCGGGTAAGGTTCAGCCGGATTTCCCGTTTCATTTCCATTTGAGAACTGAAAAGAGTTGTCCTAAATATGCATTTTGCGACACTTCCAAAAGGGTTTTCATATCAGAATTAAAGCTGCAAACTACAGACAGACTGATAAAACATTTTTAATGTCTTGCAGTTTCGAACGAGAACATGAGGTCTCATAACTTCCTCGTACAAAACATATAATCAACAAGCAAGGTTTCATATCATAGAGAGAGCGTCTCGGGGCACTTGTATGCTCAACGAGTATTCCTCTAGAGCACTCGTTAACACGGCCTTCTTGGGAACACAAAAACCAAGGACATACTCATAAACGTCAAAAACCAAACGGCCTTGAGGGTTGCTTTGCGAGAAGCAATAGAAAAGAGAGAGAAGTTGTAGCTTTACCTCGAGAATTCTCTTGAAGAAATGGAGGGATACGGCTGATCGTAGGATCAGGAACCTGAGGCCCTCGTCGGGGAAGAAGAAGAAGGAAGCGAGGCCCGCGAGGAAAGCCGGCGAGTAGAGGACCAACATCCCGGTCCGGCTCGGGACCTTCTTGTTGGGTGTGAGCGTGAACTTGGAGTACTGCAGGTGAACTCCTCTCGCCTCCGACAAGCCCGCATTGGCCAGGGAGGCAGCGCTCATTGCCGACATGGCCGTCGTGAACAGCGACGGAGGCGGCGGGTATATGAAGTTCAGTATCGTCGATATAACCATCCCTCCTCTGGTGTGGCTTCTCTGCAGCAGCCGAGATGACTGTCCGATAGTTTGGGTGGCGAGTTTGGTTTCAAATGGAATTGTGGTATGTGGTGATCAGGAAGTGCACGTGGGCTGAAATATGTTAGTGGACAATAAGAATTAAGAACTCAACCACCACGACAACATCATCAACCGAACGTGCATGAAGTAGAGAAGGTGAAATAACTAGACGTGCCATTCTTTTGCTTACGTTCTGAAGCGATATCCCTACTTGTGTCTTCACCTGCGCTCTCGTGTGAAAATCTGTTCTTAAAACCGGGTAGAGGTAGAGCACGTAATAGTTCAGTTGTAAGGCCCCATCGGCTCTCGAGGACACACTCAGGCAACATTTTCGACATGTCATTCGTGATATCCCCAATGTGGCCGTCGTGGTCGGCTGTCTTTCAACTCTCACCCAGAAACTCAAAAGACGAAACTGCGCCGACCCATCATAACCCCAGTCCTTAGGCCTCGCCATCCTTCTCACTAGACCAGCCTAATTTGCTGGTGACCATGACTGTGTAAAAACAAATCAGAGCAGTTGATGACAAGAACATTCCTTGTCAGTCAACAGTCGACTAGAGGCCTACCTGACTTCGTGAACCCATTTCTTCGTAACAGGACTAACGATTTCACTCGCACAGAACCGCATTTGGCGCCAGGGGGATAAAATGTGAACTTTGATGACACATAGATTTGCTATCCTCAATCAAATAGGCGACCCACGGTCACCTTCGATCCCCTTCGATTCAGATAACCAAGGCCTAAATAGATCTTCCCGTGCAATTGTATGAAATTCATATACACAAAAGATCTAAAAGGCATTTCACAAGGAATAAAACCGGAGCTCCTTTGGAATGATGTTTACAGTGGTATCATCCCGCCCAGATGTTTCAATACAACTTGAAAAAGAGCAGCAGACTAAAAATTCGAGACTACCGAACATGCTGCGATATTGCTACTATCTGAGTATGACATGATGACATCAGGAATACTTAAGCAGTTTGAATGACCAAACTACCTCTTTTACAACAAGCGAATTGTCGAGAGAATCGGTGGGGCAATTTCTGCAGGCCAACTGTAAAGCTTTTCTCGCAAGACAAAAACCGGCATCCTACATTAACATTTTACAAACACCACCTCCCCCCCCATACACTAATACATTGGGGTATAGACACAAACAAAGAATCAAATTGAAAATTTAAGAACACACACCCTATACCCTCTATACATCACCCACCCCAAAATTGTATTCATTGATTACACTGGAGTAAAGAAACCCCACCAACCTCCTCTCAGAGACGGATGCCTGAAGGTTGGCAAAAGAAGGTCCAGTATCAAGATTATCACAATCCATCAATCAAGTCCTTTGGCACCATGCCATAATACACCACTAGCTCTTCCAATGGCAGAGTCTAAGCTTGAACATGCGGAGCTCCTTCCTGATGGCGTGAGATGTCACTGCCCTCAACACATCCAATGAACTAGTGGAGGCTTGCCTTCTAGTTGTAGATTCTCACCGGCTTCTCAAACGTGTGACGATTCTGCAAAATTGAACATTCTCATAGGCTTCTTTACTTTCCATTTTTTTATCAGATGAGTTTTCTTTATTTGCCAGAGGGAAAAGGAGATTTTCAATCCACTACTATAACATAGAGGTCGCACTAATCGAGTTTTTGGTTATCTAGCCCAAATAATTCCATCATGTAAAAGTAATTGACAATGCCATAAGACTCTCCATTGCAATTTTTAAAAATTTGGATATTGTTGAAGTAGGATTACAATAGCAGGTTGATGGAGAATCAGCGTGGCTATCAAAGGTAGAAAGGGCAGATCCTACATTTTAAGACGAGCAAACAAAAGCGGTATGACAATAGAAAAGGGCGATGAGGGGGACAGATAAAAGTATAGTGAGGAACTTAGGAAGACAAGGATGAGTGCAAAGGCAAATTTGACGGTCAGTGTTGAAGCTTTGAGCAAAAAAGGGAACTCACTTTAGGCGGATTATAAAAAAATAACATGTGACTGAGGCCAGGTGAATGGTGGTTGTAAGGTTGCTTGCACTCGGTGTTAAACGGATTACAAACTCATTCCATGCACCAAAATCACACACCTCAAGTCTGTTCCTAAAAAAAGTCTGCTCCTTGAACCAACAATGCAACCTCACTGGGTTGTATGTATGACATGTTCCCTTTCAGGAAAGGCCAACAAAAATAAAATATTTCGGTTTCCCTCCCAGGCCTCAGAGAGGCTATTTCCACTATCAAATAACAGCAAAAATGGATCAAACGTGCCATTACATCATTACCCGCCTTCTTTAAGTCCCCAAGAGAAAACAGTAATTTTTCGATGTTCATTGCATCAGTCAGAATTGGATCATGCATCATATAGACTATTTAAGAAAAAGTAAGCATCTAGAACCTAAGCAAGGGAGATCTGTCAGAATTGGATCATGCACAATAAACTATGTAGGAAAAAATAGGCATCTAGAACCTAAGCAAGGGAGAAGGGATCCTGGAGATATGTCCTTTGCTTATCATTTCATCACCCATATCCTTTACAAAAAACAGAGCTCGTGAAAAACTACCTGATTGACTGCATAAGACCTTTTTGGAGCATTATCAGTATGTTCCAGTCCAAGATACTGCTCCCAAGCCCCATAGACATCCCTCCTCTAGTAAAATCAGAGACAGTAGTCATTAAATGACTCCAAAAGTTGCATTTAATTAAAGAAAGCATAAAGATAAATGGTAGGATTTCCTTTTCTGAGAGAGAGAGAGAACCTGAAAGCGAGTAGAAAGAACCTCAGTGTCTTCAAGATACTCTGGACGACCCAGTGACAGAAATGCAAACCTCCACTGACACATTATAGAAGAAAAGAGAGAATCATGTGATGACCAGTGATAGAGATGCACGAGTAAAAGAGAGAATGATGACAAAAAGAGTACATAGTCATAACATGTGTTATGTGCTATCCATCAAGAGGGCCGACCCAGACAGTAAACTGCAGCTCACTAGTTGCGCACATAATTAGCCAGTTTACCTTAACCTCAAGACACCATACCTTTGCAAATTCTTCATCTGGAACCTGCAGTTTTTTCTGTATACGAATTTTAATATCCGACAGGGTCTCGCCTTCATGGATAACCAGAAAAAAGGGTTCCCCAAAATTCTGAACCTATTAAAAAATAAAATTTGATTTAATACCAAGCATTATATGGCACAATGCAGAAGAACCGCGTGGGTTCAAAAATCTGAGTGGTGTCCAAAGGAAGAATATGCCTGTTCACTCTTCATCACCTGGTTTTGAGTAGTATCCTTCATAAAATGATAAACGTGAATAAGACGATCATGAGGACCAAGGTTCTTCTCCTCTTCGGGAATCTGCAGAGAGAAAATGTGATGTTAACATACAACAGGAACCAAATAACCACCCAGATAAACCAGCGACTGACCTCATAAGCAAGGGTGACCATCAACAGAATCAACAATGTGCAAAAGAACATGAGATCACTTGTCACAAAAAAAAATACTCAATCTAATATGCTTTTCTAATTACCTTCCAAAGTTCCACTGATTAAAACAAAATCTAGATTCAGGAAAAAAGTAAAAAACCAGATGGACTTGCAACAAATTCTTTACATGAGGAGACACACAGTTTAACAGCAGAAGGGATATGTTTATCAACATAATTTGCAAGTTACCTCCTCTGCACGCAAAGTCCAGTATTGATCATTTATATTCTCAATCTTTTCATTGAGTGGGAAAATCTGCAAGCAACATAATTGCAGTTCTCAATGAGGAAAAGAAAACTCAATAGCACACAAAGATTAGAATCAACTCCAACAGCAAACACTTTGACAAGAGTTATGGACCTTGTAGATCTTGTGATAAAAAACTTCAAGCAACCTCAGTTCGGTACTTGGATGGGATAAATCCACCTGCGTGAATAAGAAATTAGTAAAATGAGCCAAAACTCCTCCTGAACATGTGCCAGAAAGAGTTATAGAGAAGTAATGTAGACTGGAAATACTCTTCACGCTTGCAAATATAAACATGATGGGGATTTTGAAGCTTGAACTGATCAAGCATGGCATTTATCACTTCAGAAGCAGAAATATACGGCCTGTTAGAAAAGGAATTTACGGATTACCTTTGTCTTAAGGTCATTTATAACATCGCCAACAGTGCTTTGTTTTGGCAACCTTATGGAATGAATAATAACCTGAAAATACATGGTCCTATCAGGGGGATCACTTTTAAATAGAGGGACATGCAACGAAAACAGCCATAGAAAGTAACTATAGAAATGTAAATCTCGATGTCTGCACTCACTTCATCTTTGGTTGCATGATGAAAAGCCACCTTCAGAGTTTTCAAACCTTGCAGTTCAGGCAGGGGGATATCCAAGACTTCATAATAAAGGATATCTGAAGTCTAGCAACATAAAAGACAACCAAAGTCCCTGTCAGCTCTCACAACACAAAGATCTACAGAATAACAAATAAGTCTAAAAGAACTCCCAAAAGCTACACCAATCTTAAGGAAACCTGATTATAGTGAACAAGCATGTCACCCAAGTGCTCCGCTCCTCGATACTTGATTGGTTGAGGTTTAGGTTGTTGGGAGTAGCAATTATGAGGCGTTAGCCTAATTTTGGATGGATCATTTAAACCAAGATGGCGGGCCACTCTTTCCACGACATCATCGTAGTTATGAAGCTTCGACCTAGAAAATAAATAAAAAATAAAAAATTAAGTGGCACAAAGCATCTGAAAACATTATCCCAGCCTTTGAACCCACTTTTATGGCCCCATCTTAAAGTCATATACAGACAACAAGCACTTGGCTCGAAGGAGAGAGAGAGAGTGGGGTTTACTTAAAAAAGGGCGTTTGGTACAGCTTTACCCTAACTTTTAGAATAGGAAACAGATTTTTATATGGAGCACCTCAAATCTTTTGAAACGTGACAAAATTAACATTTAAAGTAACATCAGTTTCTTTAGTAATAATATAGGTAGAAATTCATGAAAAGGCCAAATGCACTTTCTGGCTCATGTTAAGGATGAACCAAACACTCCACAATATTTTCTTGACAAAAACTGCATTCCAGTAATGCGATGTGAAAGTAGTATATTAATAAAGGTTAGAAGTGTCTGATAAGCTAACATAGATGTCAATACTGTTTGAGAAAAAGCTTTACCAGTGTTCTATAAGTTTGCTCATTGTGAAGCTTTTTCCTTTGAGAAAAATAATTATAGAGCTGATACATGAAGAAAATCGTGCAAAAGTGGGGGAAAAAGACCAATTAAAAGTAACACCCATTGTCCACAAAAATAACTGTACATGCCTATATAGAATCAAAGATAATTTGGTGTGTAGTTGTAGTTTCACTTGTCTGAATTCATTCAATTCTAACTAAGTTGTTATGAAAAACAACACAAAAAAAAAACATCACTTTTTTTTATTGTTTCTAACTCATTTTATTCATTACAAGAATTTATTAGGTTGAGTACCAAAACTACCCTTATTTCTAATCATATTTTAGTGTTTAGCACTATCTCATTCTATATTGTGCGTATATTATCACAATGAAATTTTATCGAAGTCCCCATTTGCTTCCTAATAAATTAATGGTACCAATCATTTAGCATTTGACTCCA